TTTTTTTTTTTTTTTTTTTTTTTTTTTTTTTTTTTTTGTGAAATAAAAAGGCACCTTTCATAAAAAAAAGCATCAAACCTTTTATGTATTTGAGTTTAAACATATTTCCATTTTCAAAATAATTTTATAAAATGGCAGGTTAATCCTGCAATTGAAGTTGAAATGTCGAAGAATAATAGCTCTAAAACTGTCATAATTCTGACAGCATTGTGCTAATTGCACAATTGTATCGATTACAATTATAAATAAGTAATATAAAAAAAAAAATTGAAAGTCAATTCCTACTTTTTTTTCTCTATATTGCAGAAAGTCCTTTATAAATAATTTTCATTCATTTTTCTAAGTTTATCTGGCGCCATCTATTGGTAGATATAGGCAACTTAAACCTAAAAAAAAAAAAAAAACTAAAATTAATTAATTAAATTTAATAAATGAATTAATATTTGAAAAAACTGTATTAACATCCAGTGCCATCCACCACAAGTTAAAAAAAATGTCTTTGAACTTGAGTGGATGAATAAACGGTATTTTATGAACGATTGAAAATTTGAACAAGATATATATTGGGAGAGTGTGAGCTAAGAGAAGGAATTGAAAAAGGGACGAAACTTTTAATTTTAAATGCATATTTACTTTTAAATAATATTTAAGAAATTATAGATATTGGTATTCATTAAAATTGAAGTAATATTTGGATGTCTTACTCATCATTTGATATATGTGTATTTTACCTATACTGATAATATTCTCATTTACTAAATAATCAATTTGTTTGAAACAGAAAACTATATGATGTTAAATGCAGGTTTTTGTTGCTTTTTGAAACCTCTAAGACATGCACCTGAAGAAATAAAAAATAATGTTATATATTAATATATAAATTACGATATGCTTTGCACATTTAAATTTTAATAATTGCATAACGTTAAATGTAGTAATTAACTTAACTACTTGATGAATTAAGTGCTACATTCTTCTTCATTGGCGCAATAGACCCAAGGTGGGCCAAGGCCGTTTGTCTATTGGCAGATTCCGGATCATGAGATGTTTTCTTTTCACTTAATAGGGTTATCAATCCTACGCCCAACAGTCATATTAGACTGGGACCTACGTTTTATAGTAGATTCCAAGTCACTACAAGCATCCATAGTATCACCAGGACTAGAACATCTGTGGCACTGAGCGTCAGAGAACTAGTTACTCGACCATCAGGGCCGTTAGACTATTAGAAATATTATATCTAAAATATTTTTACAAATGTCATAACGTAATACTAACTGAATAATCTAAGGTGAACGTTTTTGTTAAATATTAAAAAACATGTTTAGAATCTAACAATTTCCATTATTTGTTATATTTCCTGGAAATATATTCCGCATAATTGATGATTCTGGTAGTTTTAAAAATACTGTATTAACTACTACATCAAATGAAGAGAAGAAAAAAAAATCTGTTTCCTAGAAACAATTGCAGTTATATTAACTTGACTGTTAGAATTAAACTGAATTTCGGTTGCATTTTTATTTTCATGTATAAAAGAAAATATCAACTAAAATCTCTTTAAAATTTTGTGGAAATAATGATATTACGCTGATATCTCATGAAAGATAAAAATTGTTCTTTTTTTTAAAAAAAAAACATACTAACTTTTAAGAAACACGTTTATTTTAATCAATATTTATTGTTCGATAGCTCGGACACATAAAACAAACTCCAATAATGACACATACACAGATAATGAAAATAATAGTAATGGACTGTAATTAATTAATCTCCTTTATTTAGGCAGCCATCAATCTCGAAGATGGACTGCCACACGCAATCTTTCTTGTTGGTTACAGAAGTTCAACTCTTTTGTTTATGCAGCCATCGCGCTCGAGGATCGACTGCCAACACAACCATTCTCTTTGGTCGCTGAGTTTCAACTCCTTTTACTTACATTCCTTCTTTCTCTCCCTGGCCAGACACCCCACAAACAGGATGTTTTTCTGGACATAGGGCGTTGACCTCCCCTAAGCAGGAGAACCCGGGTTTCGACGTAACATTTCTGTTAATATACTTTATCAGAAAAAATGCATTTTTAAACTTTTACTAATTTTTTTTTTTTATTAAATTAATACCTCGTGAAAAAATGTCTTTTCATAAAAAAATAGAAACCCATATAAAAATGTTATATTTAAAAAGTATATATTTATATATATATATATAATTTTATACAATTCCATAGGCCATATGAGTTTCTTCATATTTTTATGTAGTTTTTATGGCACATTATTTCAAAATTCTTTTAAAAAACACAATAACATTATTATTTACTTACTATAAATTGAAATTATTTCCAATATAAGAATATAATAACCAATATTCTACACATTTTATCTTTTGAAATTTCTAAGCTTGGTTAAGCTGTCAGTTTGATGTGACAAGTATCTTTGTTTAAAATGTCCAGTTACAACAAAGTCGCCAAATGTATACTATTCACGCATCTGTTTAAAAAAAATACTTGATTTACATATACAACTAAACTCTGCGCGGTGACACATGTGTTCCATTACTGTGAAAGCGATAGAAAAAAAATCGTCCGCAATTTCTTATTTTTTCGTCTGCGAAGTAGCATAATGAAAAACTCACAAAGAATATGGAGTATTAAGAGTTAAATGACCTGAGCTGACATGTAACATAGTAGATCTCATTCAACTACTGCATGTGATTTGAGGTGACGTATTTAAAAAAAAAAAAGAATTTATTCTTTAGGCTTCGTTTATGAAAGAAAACATTGATTGAAAAGGTATTTAAATGCTTTATTTTTAATTTTTATTCAACTATACTGCGAGTAACTATTCAACTGTGTGATGAATTCTGAAAGAATTAAGGTGGTGACTAATCATAATCCTGTAAGAATGATTAATGATAATCGTTAAAGACAGTTAATTAATCGAACATGCTTTTTCTATTTATATTTATTTATGTTATTACGTCACCTATCAAAGGAAATTTTCGAGGCAAATCGTATGTTCAGAATGCAGATTATTCAAAATTTTTCATGAATGTTTATTTTCTAGATTATTTTTTGTTATGTATTTATGATGCAGTATTTTCATGCCGGTAAGAAAACGTTCAATATGATTAAAATGATTTTTATTTTATCTCCGATAGCGAATAATGTTTTCAAAAGAAAAGTTAAAAGAAAAATAAATAAATAAGAGTTTTAAGAAATATTATTTCAAGTATCAATTAAAATAATCTTTTAAGGAAAAAATTTTAATCAAAGCTACCTCTCACATCAAATCGAGAACTTAAACAGACTTAGAATTTTCAAAAGATAAAATGCGTAGAACATTGGTTATTATATCTTTATACTGAAATATTTTCAATTTATAGTATATAAGTAGTAATGTTTATTGTGCTTTTCAAACGAATTTTGAAATAATATTCCATAAACACTACGTAAAAATATAAAGAAAATCATATGACTTATGGAATTATAAATTAACCCTTATAACCCTTATAAAATTAATTCTCTTATAATTAATTCTTATGAATTTATTTTTATTAATTAAAACCCTTATAATTAATTCTCACGAGATATTTATTTTATAAAAAAAAAATTAGTGAAAGATTAAAAATCCTTTTTCCTATTTATAAATTATACTAACTTAAATATTGATTAAATTAAACATGCTTCTTAAAATATAAAATAATATCGAAATATAAAATAATTTTATATAAATGCAATTTTTATTAGTATAAATTAATTATTTTTTAGTAATTTGGGTATAAATTTTAACAAAATGTTTTAAATAAGCAAAAAAGGAACAACATTAAATATAACAACGTTAAATATAATATAGTGAAATTGAAATGTAATGAATGTATTACTGGAAGATGTTTAAATTAATATATATTTTTTTTTTTAATATTTCTAGTGCGTTGAAATATTCAATAAAAATATTATTTTTAAATATAAACTTTTTAATCTAATTACTAACAAATTTTAAAAT